AAAGCAACTGTGTGAGAAAGACAAGTGGGGAGGGGAGCACTGTCTTTCTAATTCCACTCTGGCAGCTCGGTCATGGGACTTGAAACTCCATCCGGTGACTGAATTATGGAACTAAAATAATGTGTCTGAACCAAGGGGGGTATCTATCAGAGGATTATATCACGCAAAATAAATATAGTGTGTGTGTGTGTCTGCGTGTCGTTTGCAGAGGACACCATTTATAGGTGCTTTTCTCAACAGTATTTTTGCTTGGTTCTAAATGTTGTTGTTTGTTCACTGGTCTAAGATACAATATACTGCATGTGACGAGGAAAATCTTCTCAATGTAAAAACCACAAAAAGCGGGTCACTGACAGTTGAGGAATGCACCTTTACAATATCAAGAGGCTTTGAATGGCTTTCCCATGTTAGAGGGTTTTGTGGATTTACTTAAAAACTCACTATGTTTATTATATCCATAGTATTAGATCAATAGTAAGAAATAATCCAATAAATCTGTTCAAATGAAAAGTGCACTTTCCAAGATATTGTATGTTGGGCCGGAAACGTGATTGGACCTGAGGATCAAAGGCTGCCCTGGTCAAAATGCAGGACCAGATTTATACAGATTCGTCCCAGCAATCAATGGCATGGCAAGTTTATTTGTAACACAAATCTTGCACAAGAAAGAAAACATTAAAACCTTTTTCTAAATAAGATGACTTGGTGTCCTGCTCCACCCAGCGGCTTCACCACCTCTACTGCTGTGACCTAAAGTGTTGTTGCAATACTGTTTTATAACATTATCATGAGCTTCAGTCAGAATGAAACATACTGTTTTATAACATTATCATGTGCTTCAGTCAGAATGAAACATACTGTTTTATAACATTATCATGAGCTTCAGTCAGAATGAAACATACTGTTTTATAACATTATCATGAGCTTCAGTCAGAATGAAACATACTGTTTTATAACATTATCATGTGCTTCAGTCAGAATGAAACACACTGTTTTATAACATTATCATGTGCTTCTGTCAGAATGAAACATACTGTTTTATAACATTATCATGTGCTTCAGTCAGAATGAAACATACTGTTTTATAACATTATCATGTGCTTCTGTCAAAATGAAACATACTGTTTTATAACATTATCATGTGCTTCAGTCAGAATGAAACATACTGTTTTATAACATTATCATGTGCTTCAGTCAGAGTGAAACATACTGTTTTATAACATTATTATGTACTTCTGTCAGAATGAAACATACTGTTTTATAACATTATCATGTGCTTCAGTCAGAATGAAACATACTGTTTTATAACATTATCATGTGCTTCAGTCAGAATGAAACATACTGTTTTATAACATTATCATGTGCTTCAGTCAGAATGAAACATACTGTTTTATAACATTATCATTTGCTTCAGTCAGAATGAAACATACTGATTTATAACATTATCATTTGCTTCAGTCAGAATGAAACATACTGTTTTATAACATTATCATGAGCTTCAGTCAGAATGAAACATACTGTTTTATAACATTATCATGAGCTTCAGTCAGAATGAAACATACTGTTTTATGACATTATCATTTGCTTCAGTCAGAATGAAACATACTGTTTTATAACATTATCATGAGCTTCAGTCAGAATGAAACATACTGTTTTATGACATTATCATTTGCTTCAGTCAGAATGAAACATACTGTCAAGCTAATTTCATACATTCCTCTATCTTTTTATATCCTGAAAATCCCTCCTAAATTTGAACAATTGCTCTTAGGTGAATTACAGCTTTCACTCATGAAGAGGTGTGTTATATTGTTTACATTTATCAGAGTTCTACCATAACGCTTTTTTGTATGTTTGTTCTATATAAAGAGACATAAGTTACTGTATTATTGCATATGCAGTACATATGTGAAATACACACCACTTTACTTTGCCATCTTAGGGAGAGGTCAACACACAGGTTTTTTTGGGTTAGTGAGATTTATTGATTTTAAATGCTACAAAATAAGAAAAATGGACTAATAGTTTTGAGAACTTTAAATGCACCAAAGCCACTGAGAAAAATGTTATTACAAAATATATACAGTATATTAATTCTCAGGGTTCACAGTCTGGAACCTGGACTGCCATGGCATTTCTTTTCTGCATTATCTCACAGACCAATCTCTACTCATTCGCAGCCCTTCCTCCCCCAGACGAATAAACAAAGCCCACCCTAGCCCCCTGTTGTTTCGGTCATCACCTCATTTGACATGCAAATGTTAGCAACCCAAGTAGCGGGTTAGCTCCTCTTCTCTAAAACTAGCCCCAAATTTGGCTGGGCGTTCTAGTGTTAATACAACTACTATTGTTAGCTACGTTTAGAATTATCTACGGGGGTTAGGGTTATCTATCTATCCATCTATCTACACTTCACATGAAAAGTAATTCGGAACTAATCAAAACAAAAGTAGCATTAATTACAAAAAGTAATTTACATGGCGTCCCTTGTGACGTTTGATGTTGTGACCTTAGTGACACTGCAGCCTAATTTTCACAGGGCTACACATAAAGAAACCTTACAAATAAAACCTAGTAATTTCCAAAGCCAGAGCCTTGTCGCTTGTCTGCATCTACAGAACACATTTGGCTGAACAAACGTTTCCCATTGGACACCCATTTTACGGGCCGTTTTGTTCTATCCTTAAAAGTCTTCTAAAATATAATGGATTCAGTTGAAGCTATGCCCCTAGTTACACTTTTACAGCCAGGCACATTTTATTCATGAACATTAACAAGTGCTTTACACAGACGGACTGATTTATCTTTGGAAACTTTAGACTCCTGCATCACGCGCCTCCATCACGCTTTATCTCTAGTGGAAGTCCTTTCCCAAGCTTTACCAGCACTACAAATCTCCCCTATTCCTCAGCCCCTATGCAGCCGACTGAAACTCTAGCCTCCTCATAGACTGTGAGTGCTCTTCTCTTTGAACTACAACCACAATAAGAAGGAAAATTGTGTTTAGGAACTCTATTGGTTAGCTTTAGGGGTGATTATCATGATCACAAATATCACTTATACCAAGTTATGTAGGTTTGTTGCAGAGTTGCATCTTTTTGTATCATGCTTAAACGTAGATAACTACTGAAAGTATTTTTCCTTTGCTATGTCCTATACATTCCTCTCCTTTCCTCTTCTACTGCTCTTGAAGCCAAAAAGTCTGAATAGATCTATATACGCTTACATGGACATGAAGACACAATCAAAATTTGCATTTTCTTTTTAAATTCATGATAGACTAAGTTTTAAGGAGTTTTGTGGTCAGTTTTGTCAGCTAAGTCAAACTGTCCACCCTCATGGTATTGATATGGGTCATATGGATATGTCTGACGAAGGGCCTCAGCCCGAAACGTTACAGCGTGGTATGTGAATAAAAAATACTGATTGGGAGCTACATACTAGCTCTGCGGATTTTTTTCACTGTTCATATGGATTTCTTGTCATATTGATATCTTATCATTTTATTATCAGTCTAAGCCTACGTAAGGTACCCAACTATTCATAAATAATACATGTTGTTTGTTGTAGAACCCATTTTTTCGTGAACAAATTAAAGCATATCATGTTATAGCAAAGGAAGGTTTCTCACCATCATCTGTACTTCTTAGCAAGTTTTCCCAACGTTTCGTCTTTAATCCAAAGAACTTTTTCAAGGGAAACCCTGCTAAGAAGTACAGATGATGGGTGAGAAACCTTCCTATGCTTTGACTAATCCCTGTCCGACTGAGAGCTTACACAAACTCATATGTTATGTTTACATGTGATTAGGGCTGGGCTATAAAACGATAACGATATATATCGCGATAGACATGTGTTCGATATCAATAGAGAATGGGGTCGATAGAATGTTCGATAGTTTAACTTAACTCCGTCAGGAAAAACAGGAAGAAAACACCGGAAGTAAAGCCGACTCATAAGCGCATGGCATTGTGGGGGATGTAGGCAGAGGCTTCTCGACCAATAACAGCCGAGCAGGAACCGCAAAACTTTGTGGGAAATGCAAAAACAACAACAACCGCACCATGCGTAGCGTCCATGGATCTATAGCTCGTGTTTCAATGCTGTGTCAATGGTTATGCACGTACGTGCGCGGAATAACATGTGCGGCGGCAGAGGCAGTGGACAGACCCGATGTATTCGGCGAAAGCAAGAGATAAACTTTTTCTTCGGGAAGCATGTGCGGCACAGAGCCGCACGGAGCGGTCACGGGGACACAAGACCCTCAAACAGCTAAACCAGGAGCTAAACCAGGAGCTAAACCAGGAATAAAAAACCAGGATTAAACCAGGACTAACAACGAGGGACACAGTGTGAACATATTCCTCGAGCCTCATCGCCCCGTGACTGTAAACAAGGCTGCTAAGGTTGGTTAGCCCACACGACAAATATATTTATTTAGGTTAAAAAAAAAAACTCTATATATATCGTTATCGACCGATATGAATGACTTATATCGTGATATAGTTTTCAGCCATATCGCCCAGCCCTACATGTGATGCATACTTTTACAATTTTGTCTCAGAGCCGTGAGGGTGGTCCACTTTCACGTTTCTGTCTGAAAAAGGTGATCTAAAGTCCATCAGATGCGTGTGAAAACTAGAGATAGAACTAAACTGTTTTGAGAGTGAGAATTTAGCATGATGGATTGTTTGAATGTTAGAATCCCCAGCTTTATACAACTTATCATAGCATTATTTGGCAATATAACACCAACATCTTGAGAAGTGAGTGAAGAGAAGTGGATAGTGTTACATTATTACATTATCAAACTCATTTTCTCTCTTCCTTTTGTTGTTTGTACAGTTTAGAGTTTTTTTTTAGATATAATTATGAAACATAAATCTTCAGTTGGATGACTGAGAATAAATATAGTTGTACATCTAATTAATGTCGACAAATCAAAAAAGGCCATTTGGGTTGGAGTTCACCATGTACCTCTGTTGGAATGCTGCAGGGTCATGACTTGGGACCGCTTCAAGCATTCCGAGTCACACGGTACGTTTCCACCGCGACAGAAATACGCTGCTCGTTACAGTGCACACATCCCCCTCCCCTCCCCCTGCAACAGCCCCTATCTGCAGCCCGTGTCCACATTTGGCTCCCTGGCGGCCTGTGTCACGAGTTGTCAGTAGTAGTTGCAAGTTTGGCCCAGGGAGTGCATTCGTCATGGGGAGAAGTGGACCAGGGCAAGAATCTTCCATGAAGGTTAGCCATGAGTATGTGGCGCGTGATTCGAGTGGAATTGGATGATTCAACAGCACATTGTGAACCTTGGACATAACAGGACTAACATTTATGTAGTTTGAATAATGTTGGGACAATTTGAAAACACTAAATGCTGATTCAGGGCTTTGAAGTCATCTGAGCTAACATGGAGATGCAAAATATCAAACTGTGATTATTATGTGATAAGATTTGGAACATCGACAGTTCGGACGAGACCGAGAATCTGTGAAACTAACATTAAAAGACATGGAAAGAATGATGAAGCTTTTTCTTTCACACATTGACTTAAACAATTGTTCTAGTCATATAGAAATGTCCAATTTACTTGTGATGGAAAGTGTTGAGGAATAATTGTTTAGTTTTGGGTTTAAAGCATACGTGATTTTGCATTATATCCACAGTCCACTAATAACCTGCCTTTAAATAACACCCAGCAAAATAACAAGCAATATTTTTGTCATAGTACAGTAAAAAGGATGCATCGGTTGTGACACTCAAAAACGCATAGCAATATTCATTCACTCTGTTCAGGGTGTTGACACGTGACTGCTGTAGCCACAACTGCCCTGATTAATGTTAACAAAAAAGTTTCTTGTTTGTTTCTTTCCATCTATATGTGAGCAAGAATATGGGTTGACATGCGTTAGACTTATTTTTTTCTAAGCACTCATGCATCAAATGAAGGATAAAGAAAACATGTATATCCACATCTAAAAAAAAAAAATACTTAAAGATACATTTGTGCATATCAATCTAAAATAAGAGCAAACATGATACAAAGTTCAATATGCATTGCCTCAAACAACTGTAAAACATGACAAATAGATAATTCTTAAAACATTGTCTGAGAGTAAAGTTGTAATAATGCTTTCAATTTTGTGCTTCCTCAAACTTGTGTGAGCTACCAGTCTTCACCCAGTGCCAGACTAGTGCACAGTTAAACACTCAATAGATTTCCTGCTGTGGGGATGGAAAAGGAAAGATTTAGGTCAAGGGGTATAGGTGACTGTCATACAAGAGTGTCGCGGCAAAAGTTCACGGCCAACGCGCTGAGGAGACATAGCTCACGGTGACACGGCTGTTCTCCGTATCAGCTGACGACAAGCGAGAGGCTCCGCGACCTTTCACTAACTGTGATGTCATGCTCTGGTTCATTTACATAGCGCCGTACTAAGTAACAAGTGCAAGATGACTACTCCACTGTCAGCTGTGTACAAGCTATTACTAGAGTGCCAGATAGTAATTATGTAAGTGGATGCGGGCGCCTGAATCACAAAATGTTAAATCAAACTCTTTAACATGTTAACTATAGCTTTAATAACACAGAACCTTCAAGCTCTATAGGCATAAGGACAATGTAATTAAAGGTTATTACTGGCTGTTACACACTCAGTTAAGATTGCATGTAATGTAGTGCAATATAAAGTAAGATTAAGTTTGACCCAAAGCAGGCGCAGTTAGAGAACGTGAGGGAACATAACATGCAAAATTGACAGCTTCGTTCACGGCTTTTGAACATATCGTAGTTGTTTTCTCTTGTTGTTTTTAGAGCGATCCATGCATGGTTGAAAACTGTTTAATTTCTTACAACCAAGTGGCCATTACTCCCCCAGGGTCCTGCGCTTGCAACAATCCCAGTTTTTTACTTCAAATTTGCTTGCACATTATCGTTTCTGAATCTGCGATATGTGGATGATTCAGAAGAAATGCACATTTTTGCTTGAAGGAATAAAAACCCACTGATCACCGACTTAATCTCTGGACCGAGTGGACCGCCTCAAGGAGCAGAATGCATGCAGTGAGGTTGAATGAGTCTTAAACCGATACTGAGGATAAGGATAAGATACATTTTATTTGTCCTGCAGTAGGGAAATTTCATATTCGGTACTTGCATGTTACCCATAATGCTCTTGTAGGGTAGGAACTATATATGGATATATAAGATTAATTGTTGCTGTGGATCATCAGACTCAAGTGCTCAAAGCATAAACTAATTGCTTGTTAGAGTGACAATTTTCCTTAGAATTTATTGTATGTATATTTAGTCCATTTCTTTGGGAGAAGCTTTTACGAACACATCTAAACAATGGCAGAACTATTACAGTATGTGCTATACGTACAGCGTGCTACCCCCAAGGCGCAAAGCATTATGTTATTTTGCAAGAAGTGAATACAACAGATTCTGACTGCAAAACCGGGAAAATCATGCTATGACTTCTTTAAATAAGCTGGCACAACGCATTTCACAAGTCATCTCACTCCTCTATATCGGTTAAAATGCCAACCTCTTAAGGAATTGGCCTATGAAGCTGCCTTGAGTTCTGGTGTTGGGGATTTCAGATGAAAAGAAATTTCTAACCAAAAACATAAAAAAGAAAAGAAAAAAAACATGCAAAGAATCACACTTTATATTGGACTTCACAGGATTTTTCCCGCTCCTCCTCAAAACTCTTCAAAGTCCAAGGTTGATGGTAGCATCTCGGGGGCGGGATGGTTCTTGTTCTATCTGTATCCCTGGACTAGTTAGCAAGCTTCACAGACCGTATAATTTGAGCGGGACAATGCGGCTTGAATGTGTCGCCTGTCAAAGCCCCAGTGCTGCTGTGAGAGAGAGTAAGTTACAGGCAAGATGGCTTAAAATGTCACTTTGATTCTAGAGATGAGAGTCGCAAAGCCTTGAACAAAAATATTATTGCGAAATGGCTGTTGAACGACTGTGCTATATGTGCTTGCACAATGGAATTAAATCCGGTTTTTCACTGGTGCTTTGTAAACATACTCATTGACATTCCTCAGACTGCAGATGAAGTTAGCGATTTGTTATTTTTTTCGCTGCAGAATCATCCATGGAGCAGACTGAGAAAAGAAAATTGTGAGCATGCATGGATTGCTCTAAAAACAACTTGAAAGTGTAAAGGACATGAGAAAAACAAACATCTACAACATGGTCTAAATCAACAGGTTGCAGTTGATGTATCAGTTTCACGGAAAAAAGGAAACTTCAACTGACTGTTTATGGTTTTGAAAAAATGCCCGCCATGGAAAGATATATTCAGATGTTTAATGTTTGAATAATCCTTTATAGTTGCGGCTGGATGACAGTAATACTCATTTGTGGGATAATTCTGGGTTCGAAAATGTCTGACTCCTAACATGTCACAACGCTGAAGGTCCATTATCTCCATACTGAGCTGGTTTGTTCATGAAATGTGTAACAAATGTGATTCATGTTGCCTCCATATGCGTGAGAGCCGAGCCGCCTGTGCCCCAGCATATCTGGCCGTTACTACAAAGCCTCTCCTCCTCTTAGCACCAGCTCCATCTCTGGGTCTTGTCAAACAAACGGCTCCCGGTCTTCTCTCTTGGGCACGTGCCAAAAGGCCTGCCAGCACTAACATGGCTCGCGGAAGCCCCTGTTTTCTGGCACCTTCTGAAGCAGCGTTAACAGAAGTCCCCCTGTCCCATTTACAGTCATCAAAAACAGTAGCATTGGGCTTTTCCCTTGAGCACTGGGGAGCAATGCCAAGCCTGTTGCCGCTGATAAACCACCAGCCACCTCTTGTTGCCCATTCTCGTCGCTTTCTTGTGCCTTTCCCCCGTGCCGACGATGCCCCTGTGGACCCCATGCTCTCGTCTGCTGGCACTATCCACCCCGCCTTAGTCTTCATTCCAGCTTTTTTTCCTCTCGTGCTGTTTTTAGTTAAAACAACCCGAGCCGTCACTGTTACGAATCTTAAAGGGCAACAGTGTGGAACAGAATTGGGCCTTAAATGCGTGTTTGGTCTCTGATGGAGCAGGTACAGAGCCAAACAACTTTACAGGCAATTTAGTTTGATCGCAGACTTTTCTTTTCACTTCACTTGACTTAACTCAAGTTCACTGACTACAAAAGGGTTGGTGAAGCTAAAACAAAGACCCACTCACATTAGTCACACTACTCCAAATATACCCTGTGCAAAACAAAACAAAAGTTTGTAGGCATATTTAAACTGCATTTTCATGATTATTAACTGTCTATGCTGATTTTTATGCAAATGACACAAGTATACTTTCTTCTTTTAGATATATAAAATAAAGCGGAACTGAAAATTGCTGTTGCTGTTTCCCTTTTGAGATGATTTGGAAAACACCAAATACAGAGGAAAACCGGCAAACTAAAATTAAGCATGCTGTCTTGGTGGTGTCAGAGAAGCCAAGGTGGAACAAGAGCAGTTGAATATACATGACTTAAATATGCATGCACTTGAGAGACAAGTAAAACAATTATTGAATGGTTGTAACCGGTATGTCTCCTTTTAACATTCTCACCATCAAAGAAGCCCTCCGCGTACAGACAAAAACTCTCTCCAAAGCATCTCCAGTGTGTATCCTCGAGTCCACAGCGTCCAACTAAGCAGCCATACCTGCCCCATCGAAGGAGAGGAATGCCCGGATTTCAGGTGTGGGGCTGCAAGCAGGTCATCTTCAAGTGCTTAGGGAACACCGATTACCTGCTTTCTCTTATTTCACGGCCGGCTGACTAGATCCTTCATTGTCGACATAGTAACCCTTTGCTCAACCCCGATAAATGGAAGCCCTGACGTGATAAACCGCACAACAACAACAGGACAATGACCTGATTTGTACTGGGGGGCAGCATCTTGGCGTATTAGGCGCATGGTGTGACAGGTAACATGCCAGATCAAGTTACCCCATGGAATCATTGGAGCCAAAGAGATCTCCAAAGCCGCTGATTGATTGCAAACATCACTATTTACCTACTCCCATGTGCCTCGGCGATGTCTTTGTGTCCATGCTGTTGGGCGAAATAATAGGACGTGATGTATGAAGAAAGCAGGGTGTGAGTGGGCTAAGGGTATAGGAGTATGGGAGAGTTTTCACAATATTCCTGCAAAAGCAATGTTGCACGTCCTTGCATCAATAACTTGGAGAACTTTCACCATCAAAAGGCTGATTGTACACTTGTGCAACATAGCTTATTGTTTTGGTAGTGAATAGGGATGCACAAACCCAAATATTCAGGTCCAAAACAAATCTCAATGCTTTGGCTATCAATTTTGCCGACGAGGCGATACTGGTAAAGGGACTAAAAATAGAAAATCCCCTCCCCTGCTAACCTTTTACAAAAATGTTGATTCTGCAAGTAACTACAAAATGAAAAAGGTAACGTTGGTTTGATGTTCTGGGTTGGTTTCAGCTAGCACATCAAGATTCAGTTCCATGATATTGAAAGACATGGATGTACCAATACCAACACATTTTTATAGCTTGGCACTGATATATTAATATTGTATATGTGCATACCTATTAATGGACAAAACAACAGCAGAAACACAGTATTGAGAAAGGTAATTATTTAGGTCATTGATAGCTTTCTGCAATATCAGAAATGAGGGGCAGACAGTGAGAACCAAAACCAACTCCTGTCCTTTTACACAGCGTATGTAAACTTCTGGTTTCCACTGTATTTCTCCACATTTGCCACTCTGAGATAAAGAAAGGACAACAGCGTCTGTGGGAAAGGGGAAGAGCTGTTAAATGGAGCAACGAGAGAAGCAAGTGTTAATTACAAACAGCAAATACGGATAAGAAAGGAGATTAGGTCAACCACGGTGCACGAAATTAGACAAAGAATTGTGTGGAAAAAAATTGAGGGAGAAAGAAGACTTTAATTAGCATTTGTCAGAGTGTTTGCAGAGAGGCTAAGGCTAGCTGTCATTAGCATTCATAAAACAAGGCCCAAGAGCAACTGGGCCATTTCGGTAGCAATTACTTAAGTCTGGCCTGCGCCTACCTGCTGGGACGGTTCAAATAAAGATAGTGGACCGGGGCAACACAGGCCAAAGGGAAAAAGTGATTGACGAAAAATCACTGCATATTTCGCGCAACCAGCCAGCCAATGCCATTAACTTCTCCTTCCCAACCCGCATATACCTCCCATGACTGGACATTATGAGCTTATCACAGTAAAAGGGAATAATTACCCAAATACTATCCAGCGAAGCCATCTTTAATCAGACGAGTGCGTAATTACTGCCACGCAAATGACTTCAGTTCATTATGCGGCCGCCGTAACACGTCCGACGACGGATTGTTCATCATCTTAAAGCGTATTATTTACCAACGTTGCAGCGGCTAAAGCAAGGGACAGATAAATGCGCAATTGTCATTAAG